TGCCTATAGCTAGAATTAGGATTCCTCAGCATCAAAGCTTCACACCTAACTGAAATATACCTTGATCACCTCACCAAATCGTTGTCTGAGGAGAAAATAGAAATGTTCCATTGATCATTATAAGTATTGCACTGTACTGTAAAGTGATCAATCAATGACTAACAGAAAGGATTCCTCAGCATAAAGCTTCACACCTAACTGGCATACATGAATACCTTGTTCTTTTTCTATGTGCATGTACTTGTGTTAGTCAAAAATTCTAATAAAAATTTGTGAACAAATAAAGAAACTTGAAAATATTATTTGGAACTGATTTGCAGTTGAGGTCAAAGATGTATCTGAGTAAACAAAATTGTCTTTCTTCAACTATGTCCATAGGAACTCGCAAAAGTTGCGGATTTATTTATTACTTAATTAGAAAATGTTATCTGCAAAACTTGTTTGAAGCCAAAATAGTCTTAAATTGTTGTATATATTAAAAACTCATTATATCAGTTTTAATGTAGCACTGTGCTGACCATACATCTGTATGTGACAAAGATTTCAAACGGCGATGCAATCCTTCGACCCTTTACGAAACAAATGAGACAAATTATGGCAGTTACCTTGATAAGAATCTTCTATCCACGATCTATCTCTCGCTTGGGGTAAAATCACTGAGTTTAGTGAAAAACAAACGGAAATTGGCATAAGATATTGAGCGTCCGTTGACGTGAATTGACCGTTGGAAGCCCGTCTAAACATTCAAAGTAGGCAAACTGCAAATTATAGTAGTCGCTAAAAAATATATCAACGTGTCCCAACCATTTTAAACATGCGCGCGCAGTTTGGTAGTTTGCAAGGGTTTATGGGATTGACGAATATATGTTTGTATCCACGCCCCGCGCTATCATTAGGTCTCCTATAGGCCTAGTCTCCGTCTAGAAAATCATCTATAATCAGACAGGGCTGAATAACGTACTGTGCATGTCCGTGACATCACTTGTTTACAAAGCGTAGCCGCACGGGGGATGCACCTTTGCGACGTGAAAATCATCTGAGAAACTCACGAAGGAGAAATTCTGTGAATACGTTAGAAGAGCAAGTCTTCTTAAGGAAGTTTAAGTAAACCAGGGATCAAGGAAAAAGATGTTGACCCCCTCGGCGAGGTTTTTCATTGTTTTGATCGATGACTGAGAGAAAAAGAGCATTGCTGGAGTTTTGGCGACTTTTCTTCAATGGTACGTAAACGAATTACTTTAATGTTATATTACCTTATTACGGACATCTTTGTAATTAACCGAGCGAAACCAGGGATCAATGATGCCATCAGACACAAGAATTTATGCTTAGTTATAGAGCTCTTAAATATACACAAATGTTAGTGCGATCAAAGAAGCCTTTTCTTACACTAAGCTGCAGCACTTAATTTTGTTTGTGTACTGACTTGTCCTAGAACAAAAGGTACTGGCCAATCGAGCTGCAGAATTTATTTCTTTAGTTAAGCTTGTTCATTTGTTTAATTTTTTGCACTTTTAAAGTTTAAAGCTTGTGAAGTTTTGAGCAAAGAAAACACAAGTTGACTGATTTCCATGTGAGTTTTCGTATTAACTATAAGTTTACCATTTATAACAGGCTTGACTGAAGCAGAAGAATCAAGGAATGAAGATCTAGACTTCAAAGAGACAAATTAAAAAAGAGTAAAGAATAAAAAGAATATAAAAAAGGAATAATAAAGAGAGTTTACTGAGAGACAGATTGTGCTTCTTCTGGTAATGAGGCTTTAAGGAAACTTCAAGTCATTGATACGTTTTTACCAGCAGCCATCGATTGTGTTACTTACCTATTTTCTCTTTTCACATTAATTTTGATTGTTGTTGTATACTGGTAAATGCAATAAAATAGTTCTTCGACTTGTGAGCTGAGATGAGAATTGGTCAAACTTTCAAAGGTCCATAATAATAAAGGCTAACTTTTATTAGAGAGTAAAGAGGGTTTGGACCTCTGATAAGACTCTGTATTGCACTCTCTTCACTGTATGTGATTTTTCTTTGGTTCTTTGGTAAAGGGTCTTATTGATCAATCATTTATCTCATTTAACAGCTTCCAGGTCTTGCCATCACTTGATAGTAAAATTGCCACCCCTTAGTTCTCAATTCTTTAATTTACATGTCAGTTTGAAGACAGTTTGTAATTTGAGATGAACAGCAATTTGTCTCTTTGGCAAGGGGAGACATGTACATTAGTTAAATTATTTCTAATATGAAAAGAAACAGATAAATAAGTATTATGGTTCTCATAAAGGAAAAAATACCAAACAACCACTTTACTTTTTAAGCCCAAAGTGTAAAATGAACTCAAAATCAATTTATCATTTTAATGATATTACATTGAGCTGAATTTCGAAGACTATTTTCCTGGATCAGACCCACTTATATTGATTCAGTGATTATTTATTACTCTTGTTAACTGTGTATAAATGCAGTATACATTCTTGATCAGTTGAGCAACAGTTGGGTAACAATTTTAACAAACATAAAAAAGGTTTTTCTTTTGGAGACATTATCGGTTGGATGGTGAAAGAGGAGGACTCAAGAACACGATTAAACAAAGTGAAGTGCCCCACTACACTGATGTTCACACTGTTAAAAACCTTGAAAAAGAACTTAGCTATTGATCATTGACAGTCGCAGTTGTCAAATATTTGCATCTTTTTCTTGAATTAATTTCTTTATAGTCAAACTGAGTAAGGTAATAAAATGAAGCTAACTCAAGGATTACAGCTACCTTGAATTACTTCGATGGTCTAACATACTAAGACGGGTTGACACACTTCAGTTTCACAAATGAGTCGGTGACAGTTAAAAATGGCAGGTTAGGCTTGCTCTTGTTCAGAGACTGAGCAACTGCGGAAGACGGTTTTTCATACGCTCCATGCACCAGAGCAAGACTGAAAAACTATTTAGATTCAGCACGAAATTTTGGTGGCCTAGATTTGTAGTCTACTATGTACTTTATTAATAAATCTGATTGCAATAGCTGGATAGTGGAAGAAAGAAGAGAAACCTCAGTGAATTTTTTTGTGTTCTTACAGTTCGTATAGTGAAACCTAGCGAAACAAAGCGAGAGGAATAACAGAAATTAATAGTCGATCATTCAAGGAAAAATAAAGATAAATATCAAAATGTTCCTTTAATGCTAACACTGATATGAGATGCCCGGCTGATCACATGTTGATAAGACGTCGTTCATTTATGTTTACTCTTAAACTGATGTGCATATTGGAATGAAAGAACTGTTCTTCTGCTTCGCTGCTTCGAACTTGCATCTTCTTTTGTTCATAGCAAAAAATATAAGAAAAATTACAAAACTATAAACGAGAATTGTATAAAGTATGAAATAATCTACCTTTAGTTTAAATGGGAACCTTAGATATTCAGAATCCACCTTAAGAATCGCCAAAATGTGAGGTTGTTTCAAAAACCCTTTTGCAAACGATACTAATTTAGCAGAGACGCTTCGTTCATGCGTCTTCGTTTGTTCATAGCAAAAAATATAAGAAAAATTACAAAACTATAAACGAGAATTGAATAAAATATGAAATAATCTACCTGTTCTTTAAATGGGAACTTTAAATATTCAGAATCCACTTTAAAAATTGCCAAAATGTGAGAATGTTTTGAAAATCCTTTTGTAAACGATACTAGTTTAGATCCCAGACCTCTCCCCTCCCTGCACATGCGCAGACGTTATTCAGCTCTGTCCTATAATCAAAATAGACAGATTCAGAACAATGATCTTCGGTCCAATCGTGCTATCGTTGTGACTCGAGACGACTTACCTGATACTCACTCCACCGTTGCTTGTGTAAACTTGTTTGTCTCTAGCTTGTTTTAACTTGCTCTTTCAGAACTACAAATCCTCTATCGAACGGCTGTTCATGATGAAGATCGGTGTTGGTTCTAGTGTTCGGGCCATTTTGCGTTGTCATGGGGTCTAAACAGTTCTATTAGTATAAGCCAAGTCATCCCTAAATCGGGGGTCTGGATTAAAACCAAAATTTCTCTGTTTCGAGTAGAAATGGCCCTAGTCAGTGAAAGGGGCCGATACGCATCACATGGCTGAAACAATTTCACCTGTGGGCCAAAACGGTTTTCGTTGGGGCTGAAATGGTCTATGTTAGGGTCGATTTAGACCAAAAGTTGACAAAATGGCCCCACGAAGGGTCAGATCAGCTCCAGGGGCCATAGAGCTGAATCGGCACTTTGGGGCTGAAACAGATCTTTTGGATTTACAGTGCACCGCAAATTTTGCTATTTACCTACTACTCTTTAATTAAATTAATCCATTTGTTGGAAAGAAAACCAGCCAAAATTTCATGCGAAAGAAAGACGATAAAGTGGGCAAAAAAAAAAAAAAATAGCTATAAAGGCAAAGAGAAAGAAAAGAGAGCGAGAGAAAAAATCGTCATGGATTCGCAAAAGGGGCCAAATTTTATGGCGTATGCGCATGCGCGAAAACAAAAAGCTGCTTAATTAGATCTAATTAGCAGAAAATTACGTCCTTAGTGTTGGAAATCTCTTTTTAAGCCATTCTCATGCTAACTGGCGGAAAAACGGGTCAAAAAAGAGGATTTGGCTCAAAATGCGCCTTTGTCCTAAACATTGGCTGACGGGCAAAGGGTTGATATCCATATATCTTTGACATTTTATCCCTGAAGGATTACCCACCCCAAGAGGACTGTGGGACAATAGCTTTGTGGGATTATTACAGACCTAATGAACTAGAGAAAAGTGACCAGCTGTTGTCTGTATTTGGAACATTTTATCCCTTACCCCTTTCAGGCCCAACAATTAATCATTTGGGTTTAGTTCCTTGCTGTGAGAGTAAGGAATATGGTGTTTCTTCTAGCAGTTCTATTTTCTGGGCCAAGTTGTTCTGGTCAAAGGCAGGATGTATTGAACTTCGAGTTAAGATTAAACAAGTGAAATGATTCTTTATCCATCTTTCCATCTTACACAGCAGACCAAGACAGCTTGCGATTATTGAGCCGGTCACGTTTTAATAAGCTGCGTGGTTTCGCTGGAGAAGAAACCTGTCATACATGTACCCTTGTTCAACCGGTTAGAGATGGCCATGATGTAATACTGTGGCCAGGAGACAACCTAAGGGAACCATTTATATGGATTTCGTGGTTTGCGAGGTACCCTATTAACAGTTCGACCACGTACACAGGCTGGAACTTTCTAGGAGGCTTAAATTATACGAGACATCCTCACATCTACAAGTCGGATTATAAAGTCGACTGGAGGGGCTTCCTGTCTATTCAAAATGTGACGACCAGTCATAATGGGACTGAATTTAAGGGAGAAGTAAAGGAAAAGAACGACATCGAACCGAAAAGATTATACATCAAGCTTTTTGTCATCGCTGAAAAAGGTAATTGATTATTATTGTTATTTTTTTTAGAATCGACCAATGATTTATCCGCCAATGATAATTGTTATCCTTATTCAGACAGGACTGCTTTTTGTTTTGTTTTTTTTTAATTATTATTTTAGTTCATTTAATTATTAATTTTGTTTTCCCTTCCTGTGACGGCGGGGGAGTGGGGCTTCGGGAACCTTTTTTATTGACAAAATGCAAATTACAAAAAACAGGACTGTCAAAACCAAGAGTGAATGAGGGCCAATTGTATTGGAAATTAGTATTCTCTTACCTCATTCTCTCTTTTCAAAACTCGCTTGCCATGGTAACTTCAATGTTGACGTACGCTTGACGACGATTTTTCAATGTCCCTAGATAAGTTTTAGGAAAAGTCACAAAGTTTCACCGTCATAGCTTGGACGGTTTTAAAGTAATTCAGATCTGTAGAACATTGAGAATGAAAGACACCCAATTCCCAGGCCTTACGTCTTTGCAAACAGGTCCGAAAAAGAAAAACGGTCTTCTATAGACGAAATGGCATATGCAGTGGTATACATCAAGTGATGGCTGAAGATTACATTTCAAACAAAATACTTTTTCTCAATGTTTTTAAGGGAATTACAAGTCATAAGCCATTAGCCTCCCAGGCAGACGTTCTCAGGGGTTCCGCTAACGTCTGCTAAATCGAAAGATAAATTCCTTTTCCATTGTTCGCAAATATCAGCTGGAGATCATATGCAGATTATCGGAGATCCAATCGGCGCTGTTGAAGTCAAAGTGTTGACAAGCCAAAAACATACGTACAGGCTCGGTAGAGTGTGATACCTGACCAAAGATTTTTGCTCCGGACAAGAATATGATGTATGAAATAAGCGTTGGCTTTTTGTATATATCTCTCCGTAAAGGCTGGATTAGATGTCATTTGCGAATATTCAAAGTTGTCAGTTCTTTGTGTGATACAACGGCGGCGTTGTACGATGTAACTGAAAAAAAGGCAGAAATTTTTTTCACACTTTATTGTTTTGTAATAAAGCAGACTTCCGGTCAGCAAATTCAACCTCAGAGGTTTTTTTTTTTCAATGAGATTGTGAGGGTATATACCCTCTAGTACGAAGGCGTGTGAGGTAACCGAGTAGTTTGTTCTAAAACTGTAGTGTAAAGTCTTCACCTAATTCATGAGACCTTCCTTATCTTTTCTGGAACTAAGACAAGCGCGAAATTTCTCAAGGTCCAGAGTGTATTTCCCAAATCTGAAGGTGTGCTGTGATTGGTCTGCGTTTTTTACTCTCGTTTCAGCAGACGTTTTTCAGGCAGGAACGCGTGACGAACCCCTAAGAACGTCTGCGGGGGAGGCTAATAAGCTATAGGTTTCATATTGAAAAATCCTTTTTCAATCTCCATAACATCTTCCCGAAAATATTTAGATCCTGGCCTATAGAACATTTGGCGGATCGATTTTCACTAATCAGTGCGATTGAGCCTCAAGTAAACTAATATCGTCTTTATTCGGGTTTATTTAAGACAAGTCGCTTTTCTGCATTTTTGAACATTTTTGTTAAATTTGACACTTCTTTGAGAGGGTTCGGCTGAGTCCATGAAGGTTCAACGAAAAAAAAAGACCATGGCAAAGACTGAAACATGAAGTACAAGATTATAAGGCAAATAGTCTGTCGCATTAACAACGCCAGCCCTCCGCTAACCTATGGGGAATTATGTCACTTCAACTGCGCTAATTACATTTTTTTTCCCTTTTTTTTTTCATATTATCAATCACTAGAAGTGTTTTCCGGAACAACAAGCAGCCCTGTTACATCACCAACTGATACGTCGACAAGCCAGCAATCCACAGGCACGTACTATATTTACTCTAAGTGAGGTCAAGGCAGGAAAATATGGGATTTAAACAAAGCCTTGGGCCTAGACAATATCGTAAGGGATTTAGGAGGGCTTACAAACGAAAGGGGAGGAAGAGGGACTTATAACTGGACTAAAAAGAAGAGTTTTAAAACAACCTACGTTGTTACGTGGCAGTGATGATCAAAATAAGTATTTTGTATATTCAATCGCTTTTTTTTAAGCTTCAAAACGTCGTAAATATGGAATTCACTTCAGTACAAGCTAGAAGGGGGCTGGCTTATAACCGGGGAGGCTTAACCGGATGTATTTTTTTGTTTACCGGTAGATAGGTCTATAAATGGGGGTGCTTAGAAGTGGGTTGGGGGAAGGGGGGGCTTATAGGCGGAAGTTCCGTGTTACGGAAATTAAGGCCTTCAGTTCTTAAAATAGTATCTAAGTCCCTTATTACATGTACAGCTATAATATATTATCATTCGAAGCAAATTTTTCTTTCTTTTCATTGGCCGAGAGCCCACCTTGCAAACTGCCTATAAATAAGAAGGTCTCAATGGAGTTAACCGATAGGAGTAAAACGGCCAAAAATTTAGCCGATAGCCGTAAAAATTAAAAAAAAATAACCATTAGCCCTAAATAGTGTAAAAAAAGAGTTAACCGTAAAAGAAAGTGTTCCCTAGATTTGCTACTTTTAAGGAAGGTACTAAACTCACTTATGGTTGCGTTTTTTATTTCCCGGCTAGTGTGACTCCGTACGCACGTTAGGCAAAGCGCCTTTTAGGTGTTAACCAAGCCCTAGGCTCCATTTCCGGCGCATTTTGGGGAACTAACTTTTTCCATAGCGAAAGTGTGGCTTCTTGCTGGGGATTAATATTTGCAATTTTCAGGAGGCCGTGCCCTCAAAACATTAGTGAAACAACACGCAGAGATGTCACTGTTTGTAAAACACGTTGCCGATAAACAACATATTCCTGTTTTTCTCGGACGCTACGGTAGACATCGCCATGCCTAGTCCCTGTTCGGCGTCTTCCCACGCAATCTCGGTCAAGGTATTTCAGTGGCGAACTCGCTCGCACCACATGACCCGAAAGGCATCAGCCGCGCGGAATAATGCGGCCTACGGACAAGGCAACGGTATGACAGTCGTTCCGTACAGTCCTTCGCTATCATTAGAAACACTGGACACGGGAATTTTGTTTTCACACTAGACCTAGAAATGGATCATCCGTCTGAGACTAGCCTGTGTACAGTCGCGCCCTCCCAACAGACACCCCTTCTCCGATTTTTTTCTGAGGGGAGGGGGCGGCTGTACACAGGCTATCTGGAACGGATAATCCTGTCTTCAAAAGTCAGGCGGATTGTTTATTCAAATTAAAACTATTCCATTGCCAAATTAAGATGTATCACCTATCTGACGCGAATCATCAAACGGATAACCCGTCTCACACGAATAATCCTTCTCTAGTGTGAAAACAGCCATTTCTGTTATAATGAATGTCGCGCCCTGTCCTTGAATTGGGCGTTCGCGTGTCTGCTTTTGCTTTTTCACAAAGATTATTTTTAGTAAATTGACTATTGACATTTCTATGTTTAAAATAATATCAGAAGTGCAATACTTTATAAAAAGTATGATCTATCAAATGTGAAAATTTTTCAAAAGAATAGCTTATGTCATCCCGAGATGATCCGAAGACTTTATTTTGATTTAAAGATACAAAAAAATACAGGTAAATTAATATTTAACTTTTTGAAACAAAAGAAGTTAATTTTTAACTTTTTCGTTAACCGTGACTGAAAAAATTAACCGATAGCCGTAAAAGAGCCAAAATTTTAGCCGATAACCGTAAAAGCCACCACCCCGTTGAAACCCTCAAATAATGGTCTGCTCATGTGCAATGCCGTCTAACTGTGTTTGGCTGCAAATAATATTCTGCACATGCGTAAAGGAAACCATGCTTTTCTCCTTCTTGCTGTCGCTGTTGCGTGAAAATGGCAGATCGCTTCGCTTCCCGAGGATATTCATTAAAAAAAAAAAAAAAACAAACTCATTGATCGAATGGTAAAACAATTATGGAATTCGGTTATCGCAAAATAGTGTGGTTTGTCTGTGTCTCGCAGATCAATTATTTATTTTCGGCTTCGGCAAATAATTGATCTGCTCGCCACAGACAAATCACGATATTTTGCTCAACCTCGTCCAATAATTGTTAATTATTTGCTTGGCACAAGCTAAACTCGGCACATTTTTTTCTTTCATGTTCAAACGGCATGAATATTTTCCTTTTACTTGTCGTATACTGTTCATTACGTCCACAAAACAACAGTTTCGCTCTCCTTGCACAGGTTTTATCAGCCCATTTCCTGTTTTGAGAAATTTTCAAATTAACCTTCGGCCGTACAAGTAGAGATGGTGGTGGTTGGCACCTCCCCTCTGAGATTAGGGTTAGGGTAAGGGTTAAGGTTTTTTTCTGGGCGACAAAACATCAGCACGTAACGTTTTCAGTAGCTGTTTGTTTATCCAATGTGCAAATTTTGAGACAAATTAAGTGATAGTCAGTTACTATGGTTACGAAATATGACGTCATAAGTAGCAGGTGTTGAAGCCAATGAGTGAAAATGCATGTCTCTTCAACTTTTTAGAACAATGAAAGCAAAACCTCTGGATGAAATGGTACAAAGTGCTTATTTATTTGTTATTTTACATGTCAAGCACAAAAAAATTACATTTATCGCGAATTCAACT